TCCTCTGACAGGAGTTCAGAAATTGATTGCTCAAGGGTGGGTAAAGGAGTGCGATGAAGGAGAGATGCGCGTACTGGCTCAAATCGGGGAGTGAGAGCCATGAGAAATTGAACCAAGCGCTATTGGTCACGGTAAGTAGTAAACAAGGCAGCATCCTTAGTACAATCCCATGGAGGTTCAGAAAGAGCGAGCTGATCCCAGACATAATACATTTGGGAGAGGAAATCATTAATGTTCTGAGTTGTTTCTTGGCGCATACGGTGAAGATGACTCAGAAGCTGATATTGGTGAGCAAGGCCAGTAGTCTGATAGCGTTCTTGTAAAAAATCCGAGATGACTTTGGCAGGAGAGGAAGCAGAGTCAAGTTGGAACTGACCAAACTGAAGGCTGATAGATGTAATAGAAGTATTGCGAAACCAAGTGATGATCTGATAGTTTTTACTATCCCAATCTTCCAGTCGGTCGACATATTTGGCAGCGGAGTCTGTGGCAGCGGAATCCGTGGTCCCTTGAACGGGTTTGCACACATCCCCAGTGATGATGCGCTAAAGTTTCTTTCCTTTGAGGAAGCCAGACATAGCTTGTGCCCATAGGACATAATTAGTCCCATCAAGAATAACGGAAATAGGGTGGTTAGAGGAGTCCAGGCGATCCATGAGAGAAAAATAGCACAATTGAGGTAGAATCTAAAAAAACCGAGGTTACCAGTGAATTCAGATGGTCAAAATCAGTCAGAAAAGGAGTGAACGGACCAAAAATATGACCAGAAAGGCAGAAAATGGATTAGTCATCGAATCTGGTCAAACAAGGATGATGCAGGGCTGATGTCACAGGCGCGGCGCACGTTAGCATAGAGTTGCGCGGTGCACGTTAGCAGGCGAGAAACACGCGGCGCACGGAAGCAGCCAGGGCTGACGTCGGCTGACGTCAGAAACACGCGGCTCACGTTAGCAGATGAGGCCGTGGCACACAATAGCACCGGACAGTGTAGGAGGCGCGTAGAGCGCGTCTGAAACGAGGAAGCGCGTTGCCTAATGTTCTGGCGGCGCGTGAGGGTGCGTGAGACTTCAGATGATGATGAATCTGGTGGCGTTGGCTTCGTCGTGAAGAGACGAAGGTGCTGATGTGGTCCAATCTGTATATTAGGTAAGGACGAGGTACGCAGCAATCTGCCAAGAAAAGAAAATGTGATGCAGAGACTTAGGAAAAACACCTGTGCTCTGATACCATGTAAAACAAGTTGAGAGAGAGTTGAGAGAGTGATATTGAAAGAGAACTCTCTGTAATTGAAACTGTATATTAAAACCAAATAGAGGCTCCATAATATAGGAGCTGGATACAAAACATCATTATGATATAATTCAATATAATAAGGAAAAGAAGGCCGAAAAAAGGCGGGTGATCGAAAGCAGGGACAAGGAATCCTATTATATACATACTATAATATATTAACATATTATATTAACAATTATATTAATATGTTAACAAATATCAAGAAACAATCATCATCAGATCAAGATTGTGAAAAAGTTGAGCCCAAAAATATTATTTTGTTTGTTTCCACTATTGAAGTTTAAATGAAAGTACAAACATCTATCGAGATTTCTGCCCCCTTTCCCGACGGGTATCCCTCTATTCTAGGTGAGGTTGTCCAGCCCAACTGGCCAACCACCGGAACCCATCGAGCAAGGATCCTCTCCTTGAATCCTCTTCTTGACTCCCTCCTTGCATGGTCTTCGGGCTCATTTTTAGGCTCAATTTTGATAATCCGAACCATTCATATTTTAAGATTTATTCAGTATATCATACCTGTAAAAAATCAAGTTGATCGGATATCAGAAAGTATGTTCAGAAAAATCGAACTACAAACTATTTTTTAATAAATAGTTTTCCGAACACATACTTTCTGATATCCGATCAACTTGATTTTTTACAGGTATGGTATACTGAATAAATCTTAAAATATGAACGGTTCGGATTATCAAAATTGGGCCTAAAAATGGGCCCGAAGGCCCTGCAAGAAGGAAGTCAAAGAGAGGATTCAAGGAGAGGATCCCAATTCGAACCCATCACCAAGCCCTAAACGGTACCATTGCCCCATCCACTATATTGGTTTGGGCAGTGCTCAAATTTGACATTCTGGACCCACAACAACTACCTATAGCCCCTCTGACTCTCTCGCTCGGGATCAAGTCCATTTGGCAGGATGTATTTATAGTTTAAAAATTATGTTTGAAAAAATAATTTTTTGAGTTGAAAAAAAAAAATTTTAAATTTGAAGTTAAATTTTTTCCATGGACTTTAATCATCTCTAAATGCCTCAATCATTAAGTCATCCAACCCATTGTCTAAAGTTTACTAGGAAAATTTATACAGAAACAAAAAAGTTATTGCATGTCTCAATCACATATATTATATAATAAATAGCTAGTATAGTCAGTGTTATATAAGATATTAAAATTAAAATGTCAACATCCTAACATTATCGATGTAACTAATATTTAAAAAAGTTATTGTCAAAAAAAAAAATGTTAATGTTTAAAAAAGTTATGTGCTGGCACAGCTCAACTGAAATGTGAAAGCCTTATGTCACAGATGAGGTGTTCCCTAAATTTAATGTTTTGATGATAAAAGATTATTTGATTGTTCCTTTTTTTTTTATTATTATTTTTTTCTCTTGACAAAAGATATAATTAACAAATAAAACATCTAATATAGTTTATAGAAAAGTTTTGTTGAATTTCCCCAGTATATATATACTGCTGTTTTTATTAAATAATAATAATAATAATAAAAACTCCTTTTTATCGGAAATTATCTAATAGGTTCGGCTGTCTTGGTGTTTATCTAATAACACTTTGTATTTTGTTCACTATGTTCTTATTTTTTGAACCATGTAATTACTTAGTCTCATGCTATTGGGTGGGCACACAGTTAACATGGAATTCTCAAAATACAAGATAATTTATTTATTTTTTTATTGAGTTTTCAAAAATTGTTTCTGAAAAATTTTCATGTGATTTACTCTTCTTTGATATGGAAGTAATTTATAAATATTTTTTTTAATCTTTGTTAATATTTAATTTCATCGAATTAGTTTCCTACTCACAAGTGTTTTATTTATCCTGTTCTAGAATCCTAACACACTTTTTTTTTTTTTTTTCCACCCCTTTGCATTCTTTAGTTATACTTTCTAAATTTCACAATTTTTTTTCCCTAAAGTCAACTGTCTTGCGTCTCTCTATATTCAGTTTTTTTTTTTTTAATATTTTTTATCAAGTTCGTACTTTTCTAATTTAATTAAATAATGCATCCACTCTTTTTCATCATAATTTTTTTGCATAAACTAAATATATCAATTAAATATGTATACTTTTTATTTTTAAATAGCTCACATCATCGTATGTCAGTTAACCAAATATATGATTTTGAAATTTAAACAAAAAAAATAGATAAAATCTTCAAAAATGATCCGTAGCTTGAATACTTCGGGCTCGAATGACTCGAAAGTACAAATTTCTCTCTCCGCCTAGTAGTTCACTATATCTCTTCACTCTCGCCTCTCAACAAATTGCAAGAAATCAGCACTCTCACCTCTCTCTCACTCTCGCCTCATCCCTCTCTATCTCTTCACTCTCGTTTCTCTCACCTGTCTCTTGAAGAAGAACGATGAACAATGAGACGATGGACGACAAATGACGACGGAAGACGAATGGGAGCCTGCGACAGTGAATCTGAGGTAAACCTGAAATCGCAAAGTTAGGGTTTACGTTTGGCTTCAATTTTTGTAGAAATTAATCGATTGTGAGTGTTTGGGGTTGGATTTTGTTTGCAATTTGTGTTAGGGTTTAGGATTTAGCTTTAATTTGTGATGTGTTAGGGTTTGAGATTTGTCTTTATACATTATATCAAAAATGAACTTTGTTATAATAGATATAAAACAGAGTAGGTTTGAGATTTGGGAATGAACTCTGTAATCAAGATGTGTTACTATCTTGGTATATTTGGGATTCTCGATACCTGTTATCCCAAACCGTATATTTGGGATTCTCGATACCTGTTATCCCAAACCTACTTTGTATGACAGTAACACTCTGTTATCAAGATGTGTTACTCTGTTATCAAGAATGAACTCTATTATCAAAATCTTGATAACAGGTATAAAGGCAAATTTGGTCATACAAAGTATACCTACTCTGTTAGAGTTCAATCTGGTCATACAAAATATACCTGTTATCAAGAATGAACTCTGTTATCAAGATTAACCTGGTTAACGTTTTGACAATTTTGGTGATGCTTTACTGGGATTTGAGACCTATAGATTAGCAAAGAGCAAGCCTCTTAGAAGTAAAAGGTCTCGCGAGTTTTCTGTTAAACCATTGAACCCTTTAGAAAGTTACCTCACTACTCAGCTGTATAGAGAGCAGGCTCAAAAGGATGAGTTTGAGTTTAGTTTAGTTCCATCACCACTTACACCAACAGTGAGGCCATTGTTGGTAACTGATGGGAACCGAATAATTAGCAGAGATTTTAGTGATTCATTTGGTTATAAGCTTAAGAACAAAGCTGTGATTTCCTTAGAAGAGGATAGTAATACAGTTTTGGAAAAGATGACTATTTGAAAAAGTTCTTCATGCAACCTAACGTATGTGGGCCTTGTAGAATAAGTTCAAACTGTGTATGAGATTTATATAACCTTCGAGTACTTGCTTTTATTTTATTTTACCATTATCTTTTAATGGGTTTTGCTTGATGTTTCACAATTTCAGCTCTTGTGTTCACTCTGTGAATTCTATTGTCAAAAATGATCTGTAGCTCGAATATTTCGGGCTCGAATGGCTCGAAAGTACAAATTTCTCTCCCTTCTCGATCTCTTCCCTCTCCGCTTTAGCAGTTCACTATATCTCTTTACTCTCGACTCTCTCACCTCTCTCACTCTCAACAAATTGCAAGAAATCAGCACTCTCACCTCTCTCTCACTCTCGCCTCATCCCTCTCTGCTTTCTATCTCTTCACTCTTGTCTCTCTCACCTGTCTCTTGAAGAAGTACGAAGAACGACGAGACGATGGACGACGAATGACGACGGAAGACGAATGGGAGCCTGCGACAGCGAATCTGAGGTAAACCTGAAATCGCAAAGTTAGGGTTTACGTTTGGCTTCAATTTTTGTAGAAATTAATCGATTGTGAGTGTTTGGTGTTGGATTTTGTTTGCAATTTGTGTTAGGGTTTAAGATTTAGCTTTAATTTGTGATGTGTTAGGGTTTGAGATTTGTCTTTATACATTATATCAAAAATGAACTCTGTTATAATAGATATAAAACAAAGTAGGTTTGAGATTTGGAAATGAACTCTGTAATCAAGATGTGTTACTATCCTGGTATATTTGGGATTCTCGATACCTGTTATCCCAAATCGTATATTTGGGATTCTCGATACCTGTTATCCCAAACCTACTTTGTATGACAGTAACACTCTGTTATCAAGATGTGTTACTCTGTTATCAAGAATGAACTCTATTATCAAAATCTTGATAACAGGTATAAAGGCAAATCTGGTCATACAAAGTATACCTACTCTGTTAGAGTTCAATCTGGTCATACAAAATATACCTGTTATCAAGAATGAATTTTGTTATCAAGATTAACCTGGTTAACTTGGTGGTGTGCCTAATTAAAGATGGAACTCTGTTATCAAGATTAACCTGGTTAACAGGTTAGTCTTGAATTAATTTTTAATCTTGATGAAATGTTCCGTGAAAAATTGATGAAATGTTCCTGAGCTTTATGAAATGTTCCTATGTTAAATAATTTCAAAATTAATTCAACGAATAATTTAATGTTCTGTGTGTGAAAAACAGACTAAACATAGTTCTGTGAAAAATTAATTCAAGATTAACCTGTTAACCAAATTAATTCAAGATTGAACTCTGTTATCAAGATTAACCTGGTTAATTCAACATATCAAGATCGAACTCTGTTATCAAAATTTATTCAAGATTAACCTGATAAGAGAGTTCAATCTTGAACGCACCTGTCTCTATTTTAAACAGATTGAACTCTTTATCAAGATTGAACTCTTTAAACAAATCTGTTATCAAGATTGAACTCCAACATCTTCTACTAATGATAGGAAGATAAAAAAAATGAAAGAACAGCTTGGTAGGTAGTTGAATCTGCTGATAGGTAGTTGAATCATCATCTTCTACTAACTGGTAGTTGAATCATCATCTTCTACTAATAAGTAGAACAGCTTGGGAGATAAAAAAAAATAGGAAGAACATCATCTTTTACTAATCGGTAGTTGAATCTGTTGGTATTTTTTATGCAGATAAAAAAATGACTTCATCTTCTATTAATAATAGGAATATAAGATTAAAGCCAAGATTGTGTAATTGTGGAAGAACAACTTCCATGCATATTGTACGAACCAATGAAAATGGAAGTGAAGGACGTGTCTTTTTTGTTTGCCCAACAAAATATGTAAGTATCTGTTATATAAATTAATCTTTTACTTTTTGCAAATTTCATTTGTCTTTTATTGATTAACTGATTCTTGTACATTGTAAAATGCGAACAAACACTGTCTACTAATAGGTAGTTGAATCATCATCTTCTACTAATAAGTAGAACAGCTTGGGAGATAAAAAAAAATAGGAAGAACATCATCTTTTACTAATCGGTAGTTGAATCTGTTGGTATTTTTTATGCAGATAAAAAAATGACTTCATCTTCTATTAATAATAGGAATATAAGATTAAAGCCAAGATTGTGTAATTGTGGAAGAACAACTTCCATGCATATTGTACGAACCAATGAAAATGGAAGTGAAGGACGTGTCTTTTTTGTTTGCCCAACAAAATATGTAAGTATCTGTTATATAAATTAATCTTTTACTTTTTACAAATTTCATTTGTCATTTATTCATTAACTGATTCTTGTACATTGTAGAGCATGAACGAACACTGCAATTACTTCAGGTTCGCAGATGACGACGACGACGCTACCTCCACAATCCGTGCCAATCTGGACCTCGGACAAATTCAAGAACAGAAAAAATTAATGATCTAAGGAGAAGGCTTGGTGAGATGGACAATGCAATTCATGAGCATGATACAAGGCTTGAAAATCTTCTCCATCCTTTGAAGCAATCCGTGATTTTTTTTATTTTTCGCACAATTTGAAGAAAACTTACTCATACACATTTTTTTTTAGAAGCACATTTATTGGGGTTTAAAATAAATTTTGATCAATTTTTCTTAATTTTTAAGTATGATTCAATATACTTCATATTTTCAAATCACTATAAAAGGAGTCTTTTACATTTTATTTCAATAGTTAATGATTTTAAGAATAATTGATTTTAAATGTCTACAAATTATTTTTTGCTAATACATGAACTAACTGAATAAAAAATATTCACAATTATTAAATGAAAGGATTATAAAATGAAAATTGTGCCATGAATTAAAAAAAATTATAAAGGAAAAAAATTCATATAAGATTTTTTCTTTAGGCTTGGATCACTTAAGTATTTGTTTTTTTTGGTGGAAAATGAAGCTATTCAGAATATTGTAAAAGGATGTGACGTTGTCTAACAGACCGTTACGGCCGTTACAGTACCGCTACGGCCATTACGTAACACCAAAATGGCCGTTATACATGTGAATTTCTATCACACCGCTATAGCGGCTGTAACGGGTGGCGGTAACCACCACAACCGCTACGTAACGGCGTTACGTAATAGTTGCGGCCGCTTTTTAAAACCTTCCTCATAATTGTTTAATGAAACTCAACAATGCCTCATCCCAAACTAGATGCCTTCTTGGGCAGTGCTTAACTGTGTCCTTGGTGTTTGTTATATAGCATATGGTACCAGCAATGTGCTCAAGTTGTTGTGAGATGATAAGCAAATGGGAAGTGTTAGTCTCAACAAAAGAGTCATGCGAGGTTGATGTATGGCCATATCTTCAGACTGTGACAGCTGACATGATTTTTCGGACGACATTTGGTAGTTACTATGAAGAAGGAAAAAGGATATTTGGTGATATTTAATCCAAGTCACGCGGTCGTTTTATATTCCAGGATGGAGGTATATCTTAGCTTCAAACAAGTACTTTTATGGTAGAGCTACTTACCAATTCTAAGTCACGTTACACGTATACTTTAGAATTCGTTTTTCTTTTTTTATTAGCAAAGAAGTAATATTTTATTAATGATAATAGAACATTACAAAAGAGATGAAGGAATACTAAAACACAAGTTAGAATTACTTTCTTTTCTTTTTTACCTAGAAAAGACTCCACCAACTTGTTTTCCTATTGTTGAGTGTATGTTTTGTATTCTACAGTGCCATACAATTTTTGAGTTCTTTTCAAAGATTTTTGGGTTAAGTTAGGATAGGTTGTAGAATCAGAAATTCACCAAGAGTCCAATGTGCAGATTTTTGTAATTGTGTATTGAGATTGAGATTTCTAGGGTTGCCTAAAATTAGTAAATTTAGTAGGAAATTCTAGAGAGATTAATATAGAATCGTCAGCTGGCAGAGAGATGAAAGTGAATTTGTATTCTTCAATTAATGTGGTTAAATATTTTTCTCACACCTATGGATCTGTGATATGTTTTTGTAATGGTTTTTTTTTTTTATAATTTAAATCAGCAAATATATATATATATATATATATTAATTTGACATAATGAGCAACATCAAGAAAATAAATATTAAGAAAAAGTTTCATGGTTAAATAGCATATACCAAGTATGTTGGCACATACCTTAAGCAAATCCTAAGATTCTTCCAGAACCCCACACATGCAACTTCAAGTTGGCATGAACTTGAGCTACACCCAGAAGTAAATCTGTATTCATTAGTGTGCATAGGTGTGAATATCCCATTACATACCTAATATCTTCATTTACATAAAGGTTGAACAAAGGATTGTAGACAAGTGTTTTGGTAGATATTAAATGCTAAAAGCATTCATTTCATATTTTCAAAAAAAATAAAATTAAAGTGACTTTTTAAATGAGTGGCTTTGGCATCTAGCTAAAAAGGCCACATATTTTTTAAACATTTTTTGTCTTTAGTGATTTCTTTCAAATTTGGACCAGTTATTTTTATATTCCCAGTCCGTTTAGTGTAGAAGTATCTAAAAAGTTTCTTAAAAAATGACAAAATCCAAAAAATAAATTCACTAAAAAATTAATAATAATTTTTCATTTTTTTAAAAAGTTTTTTGGTCAGTTTAGTCAAGTAAAACCTAAAAACATAAAACTTTTTGATTTTTTTTTTTTAGTTCACTAAACTAAAGATCAAAAAAATAAAATAAAAAACAACAAAAAACCCAATCCCAGACACACTGTTAGTTTTCTCTTGAAAAAGTACAAAAAAAAAAAAAAAAACGATTGAAGGGGGGGACAAAAAAATTTATCTGCCCATTTTTATATGATGCTTCATCTCATTTTAAAGAAAATAGAGTTGAAACTTTACTTGTCTTTCCATCCCAAGTAGTACCAATCACAAAGATTGAGCCTTCTATTTGAGTCCTTTTTTCATGTCTTAATTCCACTGAGATTTACTTGATTGCATGTAGGTTTCTACCAACAAAGACAAATGTGAGGATGAAAACAATCCATAATGAAGTGAGAGCTCTACTAAGCAATATTATCAAAAACAAAGAGCGGACATTGAAGGGAAATCATGGAGATAATGACTTGTTAGGAATACTATTGAAAACAAATTTAAAAGAAAGTCAAGTACAAGGAAACAAGAAGAACATCAAACTGACAATGGAAGAGGTGATTGTGGAGTGCAAGCTATTCTACCTTGCTGGGCAAGAGACCACCTCAACTATGCAGATTGATTTTCTCCAATCCGCCAATCTGGCGGACGGATGGCGGATTGGAGGTTTCATAGCCGCAACCGACCCGCGCCCACCCCTACTAAAGAGCACTTTTACATATGGAAAAAGTTTTCCTCCAACTCAAGATGTAGGAGCTCTTGCAACCCAAATAATATGACACCCTAAGATTGGTTAAGAGATTATACATGTGTTTAGAATCGTAATTATTTTAGGTAACTTATGTATTTTTTTGGAATTAAATCATTTTTTAAAATTATAAATTTTAATTTTGGTTAATTTTGGATGACCCATCACTTGAACTTTTTTCTTTCTTTTTTTTTTTTTTTTCATGATCAAATTGTTCCACAATTGTATTACATAATTAATATCCGTTGAAAAATCTACATACATTAAGAAACATTGTATGTTGTAGAAATATAGAAAAAAAATTCTCAATAAAAAAATTAAATGTGCCAATTTTTGTTTTTATTTTTTATTTGTTTTTAGTATAAAAAAAAATCAGATTTTTCAGAAAATATTTCAATCTGCATCGCATCTATAAAATTTTAAAATTTTGATTAAAATATGAAAAAGTAACTGAAGACAAAATAAAAAGAGGAAATAAAAAAACTAAAAATTATTTTTACAAAATAAAACCAAACATACTTATTTTTGTTAACAAAATTCTACGACATACAATGTTATGTATCTAAATTTTTAACCCATACTAATTGTAGAGCAATTTGATCGTATAAAAAATAAACAAATAAAAATTAGCCGATAATTTATCAAAAAATTGCCAATAGTGAATTTTTTTTAGATAAAAATTTAATTACAAAAAACATAAATAAGTTGCCTAAGATAAGTAGGATTCCAAATACAAGTTTTCATGTAATTTCTTAGCCAATCATAAGGTGCCACATTACTTAGGATGTAGGAGCTCCTACATCTTGGGTTGGAGAAAAACCTTCTCCTTTACATATTTAACACCCAAAAAAAATGGTAAATAATATATATATATATATATATATATAAATGCTCATATCCGCACACAGTTTACTTATAATAACTAAAATTTACTAATATAAATTAAGATGAGAAGAAAACATTACATTATAAGAATTCAAAAGGACGAAAATCTGGTAAAATATTGAGTTGGTTCTTGACTCACCAAATCTTCATTATTATTATCATTTATTCATTGATTAGGTTATTCAATCATCAAATCTTCATCAACTGAATCTGAATTACTTTGTGCTTCTTCTTTCAATTTTCATATACACTTTCTAGGAAACATGACTATATGATCAATAATCCACAGAAATTCACAATCCACTGAGACACAAAAATTAGAGACTACCTCATTAGGGCACATAAATTACGGTAAAAAAAATTAGGGCACAACAGAGAGACTCACCGGACGTAGCTTACGGTCGATTCACCAGATCTGGAAGTTGTTTGGAAGAGATAGAGAAGATCTGGACAGAGTTTCGTTTATATAGAAACTAGTGGGTGGCACACACGATGTGTATGCAATTTAAATAAGTAGGAATAAAAAATAATAATAATGAAATTAATATTATAATGTGTACTTAGCTTAAGTGATATGAGTTCTCGTACTTAAACCCATGGTCATGGGTTCAAGCCTTGCCCATCTCTTTGTTTAAGTTTTTTTTAAAAAATAAAAAATACTGCCACATGACATGAAGAGAGTAAAGCTTCAGGACACCAAAGTTCCTCTTCACTTTATAATAGTATAGATAGATGAAACTCTTTTGGGCCTTTTTTTGTTAGATTGGGCCTCAATAGATTGGGATTATTTTAAAATCCAATATACTATAAACTAATTTGGGCCCTGTTTCGATCCCAAATCTGGGACCCCAAGCAACCGTCTTTCTTGCCTCTCCCCAGACCGGGCCTGGAATTGGACAATGATCCTATTAAGCCTTGTTTATCAATTTTACTTTAATAATTTAAAATTAAAGTTGAAAGGGTTAATTATAGGGAGATTTACTAATAAATCTCAAATGTTAAACTTATGAACCAATTAGTTTTAATTTTTTTTCTAATAAACCGTTTAGTCTTTGGATATTTTGAGGGACTTTAATGCCCTCATTTAGATATTATTAGATGCATGCTCTTTATGAGGGTGTGTCACGTGACACATACAATAGGTGCCACATATCAACAAAGTATACTAAGGCTCTTTATACTTTTTGCTTTGGAGTGTCACGTGACACACACAATGGGTGTCACACATCAACAAAGTACACTAAGGCTCTTTATGCTTTTTGTCTTGGAGTGTCACGTGGCACACACAATGGGTGTCACATATCAACAAAGTACACTAAGCATCTTTATGCTTTTTGCCTTAAAGTGATCACGTGACACACACAATAGGTGCCACACATCAACAAAGTACACTAAGGCTCTTTATGCTTTTTGCCTTGGAATGATGTATGTCATGCAACACACACACGGAAGGGTATAATTGACCACTCAATGTTACTAAACAAAGGAAATATGATCAACTGGTAAGATATTTCCCCACTAATAGGACTAATCAGAACAAGAGAAATAACCTTAGGACCAATCGGTAAAACTGTTTGCGAGATAGGATTTATTGGTAAATATCCCTAAACAGGTAAAAACAAAAATTGAAATCAGTTTTTCAATTTTTTCTATACAAATAAAAAATACCATTCTTAAACCCATTAATTTTTTTCACCACATAAGAGTCAAAAAAAAAAAAACTTATTAAAAATATTAAATCCCAAACAAGGTTTGTATCATTATATCCAATAATATTCCCTCAGCATGAGGCTGGACATGCCCATTCTTTGATTTTTCCTTCAGCCCATAATCTGCCTTTTTTTCCCTCCAAAATCTTTTTGTCAAGCAACCAAGTTCCATTTTGACGTACCATATTGTAAGCCCCACCCACGTCATCAAACCTAACAAAACAATATCAAACACCCATGTTTTTACTTTTGTTTTTAAGTTGGCATGTAGAGTAGACATCGGCAAGGTGGGTTGAACTGTGAAAGCGGACCCTAAGATCACTCTTTATTTGATGGATTCAGACCAGATTGAAGGATGAGTAAAAATTGAGCTTGCAAGCATAATTGATGGGTCATATATCACAGACAAACGCTGGATTCACCGTCTTAGCCCAATGAATGAACTAAGATTTAAGGCCTACTGTTTTTTCATTTTTTCCCCCTTCTTTTTTCATAATTTTTGACCGGCTTGTAGGGTGACCCAATGGTTTACCTCTCCCAGGCTAAAAAGTTGGGCTTTAGACCCTAAGCCTAGGTGTTGCCGAGCTTGTTTGAGGTGTGCTATATAAACACACTTTTTATTTTTTTTTAATCACATTATTTTTATATTTTTTTGTACATCTTTTCATAAAAAATTAAAAAATACACTTATTTAAATCATTCCAAACAACATCGCCCATCGGCATGGGCAGGCTTGGGCCAAGCTACTGGCCTGCAAACCAAATGATGACCTTTCATAGACATCACATACCTCCAAAAAAATTCAAACCAACCACTTGAAAATGTTGTCCGGCAAATTATCAACAAATACTGTGAACCAACCTCTTTTCCACCGTGCCTCCTTGACTTGATTCTTCGACCAAAACACATCGATCTTCATCACCATTTATTCCACCACACTAATGATCATCAAACATTGCCACAAGAGATTCTAGTCACACAGTATCCACCTTATTCCTTCAGATTATAATTTCCAAGTAGAACCACCATTGAAGACTTCCATTGTGCACCATTGAAAACTCCCATTGTGGGGCTAGAAAATTTCTAGCGAACGCCATTTAGCCAATGGGGTGTACACCAATTTTTTAGCACCAATCAATTGGACCTTGTCTTTTTTATTTTTCTTGATAGATATGCAAGTTAGATATAGCAAAACAAATGTATTACGGTTAGATTGGAATTACAGTCCAACCTTCTCCGTGCTTTCTTCTCACACTCCAATCCTACAAAAACTACTTTCACATATATATATATATATGACATAAAATTACAAACATAACGTCCGCTTCATAATCTCCTAAACACAAATGTTATCATTATAAATGAATTTTCTTATAAAATTTATAACTATGCTCTGACATTTATATATACATCATCTGGACTAAAATAATACTCTCCGTCAAATGCCATGAACTCTACATTTAACAATTATAAGCACCAACAAAGAAAACATCGCTATTATATTCAACTGAACATTGTTCTTCCACATTTTAGAGTTGAAAACTGCTAAGATCTTACAAGGAAAATTTGTGAAGCGGAGACCACTTTTGAAAAAAATTGTCTGTCTCTATACATTTTGTCCCATTTTTCAATCAAAATGTGTTCATAGCAGAACTGCACTAGAAATTTTGTTTTTGAATAATTTTCCTACAATCTTTTCATTACAAATGACTATGATTTTCTACAAGGTTCTTAAGTTATACCCAACTGTACCCATCCTTTCTCGAACTATACACAAGAAGACAAAAGTCGGAAAAACTTGTTCTACTTCCTGGAGTGGAACTTTTGTTGCCAGTTACGTAAATCCATCGTGATTGTGAAATTTGGTATGAAAATGCTACAGAGTTCAAGCTTGGAAGATTTTCTGAAGGAATTACAAAGGCAACAAAGAGTCCAGGCACATTCCTTCCTTTTGGTGGGGGTCCTGTATCTGCATTGGACAAAACTTTGCAATGGAGAAAGCAAGAATAGCCTTGGCAACGATTTTACAACGCTTCTCATTTCAACTTTCTTCATCATATGTGCACGCACCTTCCTTTGTTATAACACTAAATCCCCAACATGGTGCTCGCTTGATCTTACAAAAAATCTAGTATTTGATCGATCTTTACAATGACAATATGTAAAATGAGGATCTTATAGTTGTGGTTATCATAAATGAATAAAATTTAATATGCTAAATTCTAAGCACTTGGAAGCTCAATACAAACCTTGAGTAGCTTACAGAATATAGATTGACGGGACATGATTTTCTATCTCCAAAAAAGTATCCTATCTCATATGACTCACAGATGTACGATTTAATATTATTTAAATTAAATTAAATAAATTGTCTGGCTGTGAAAACAGAATGTTAGAATATTCAGGCATCCTACCAAAAATAAATTGGTAGTAACGGGAGAAGCCCCTTGACTATATGGATTGGGTTGGATGGTTTTAAAAGGTGATGAGGGACAGGTGATTTAGATAGGCAATGTGAATTTGTAATACTCCCTTAGACATGTGGTCTAGTCACTGGTGAAAGTGATAGACAAATGAGAGATAATACAAAAGTCTCGGTACAGATACTTAACTTATAAGAAATATCCAAAACCCAGCTCTAATACAATATTAGAATTTTGGGATATTTACCAGCCAATCCCATTAAATGAAATTAATTATTCATAAGTCTTGTTGACATTTTAAATACACCATTAAGTCCTCAACTGTCCATATTACGCTCACTACACCTACCAACACCATTAAGTCTTTCTCTGTTGTCATCAATGGTGCTCACATCAACCATCGTTCTTGTCCTCCTCCTTTGCTACCATCATCGCTCACCCCACACCATTGTCATCCTCCCTCGTTGATTGCCATCGATATCACTTCTATTGCCACATTCCTCCATTACCAATCTATTGTCTTTGATGACGAACTTCGTGGATGGCTTCAGATCTAAGTATTTTCAATGCAGATCTACTATCTTCAGCTCCAATCTAGTACTGTACAAGGTTTCCAGTGAGATCAAGACTTTTTAAAGACCGTCGCCGCCTCCACTACCGTCATTGCTGGTGACCTCAACCAACATCTTCTTTCAATTTTACCATTGCTTCCACCGCTCTTTGTTGTCGGGTCTTCTCTCTCTCTCTCTCTCTCTCCCTCTCTCTCTCTCTCTCTCTCTGTATATTAAGGAAGATCCCAGTGATAAATTTATTTAAACTAGTAGTAAATCAGTGATAAATTTATTTAAACCAGTAATAAATTTGTTTAAACTAGTGATAAATCAGTAATAAGTTTATTTAAACCAATGATAAATTTGTTTAAACCAATGGTAAATTTGCAGTGTTGAAGCTAGGGGTAAAAATAAAAAACACTGTTTGTTTTTTTTGGGTAGACCTGCTGGGTAATAAGACCAGTCCATAGGACCGGCCCGTAACTCCCCTTAGAATTTAGAAGAATCCAACCCAAAATCAATTTACTTTAGATGGAGAGGCCCATGGACTATTTAAGGCCTAGTTTGAAAAGACTAAATAAGTGTAATTTTTGACTTTTTATGAAATATGGATTGAGTTTGAGTTGGGTTCGGGTTGGGTTCGATGTGATGTGCTAGAAAAGTAATGTGACATAAATAAGATGATGTGAGTTAAATAGGATAGTGACTTTTTGACTTTTTGTCTTTTTTCAATCATGCCAAACTTGGCCTAAGTATGGATTGTT